TTCTCTTTCCGTATCCGTGTGTGTTAATATATATATATATATATATATATGAAAATTATAACATAAATATGTTATAAAACCACTACAAAAATATCCATTTTAAGAATAGTATTTGTTGGTTATTGGAATCTATTCCATATATACCAATCCTATACTTGTGTGTATATATATATATATATATATATATATATATATATATTGGTGAAATAAATTATTGTAATGGTACCTTAAAGTGGTCTGTTTTTTTCATTAAATATTAGCTCTGGATTGACATTGAGCTCTCAGGATTTCCTCCTCCTTGGAGTTACCCATTCAGTTTACCAAGTTCTTCGTAAATTTTATATATATATATATATATATATATATATATATATATATATATATATATATATATATATATAAAAGTATGTGGTGCAGTTCAATTTACATGAATCATTCATACAAAAAACAGATAACGATAATGATTTATTATATTTATATAATGTATTTTCGCCATTTAAATCATTAATTTCTATATCTGTTTTTTGTATGAATGATTCATGTAATATATATATATATTTATTAGAGAGATAAGTATTCATACACAATGATTTTTTTTTAATTAACATAGTTATAATTTATGAAAAACTTAAAATTCATACAGTACTTCTACACCATTACATAATGCTGCAATATGCAAAAACCAATTAGAAAACTTTGTTATAAATTAAATTGTGTGTTATTTATGAAAAAAAAATTTCGAAGCGAAAAAGTATTCGTACAAAACATGACTTATTATCAAAATGTTGAATTACCTTTATTTACATAATTGTTTGTGAGATTTTGATAGATTCTTCCAATTAACTTATTACCGGAACAATCTAGAATATTCTGGAATTCGTTTCGATCAGGTTATCTCTGCACATAAATCATACGCAATAACTATCATCATGGAGAATGGCAAGGAACTATAAAATTAGCACAAAGAATTGATCATCAAACATGAGAAGGAAGACAAAAGCTATAGAAAAATAGCATATATCCTGAATAAATCATTTAATACTATTTGTTCTGTTACTGATAATTTTAAAAAGGTGAAAAACTTTTGGGAACAAATCGAGATCTGGTGCACCACGCAAGATTTCTCTCAGATCATTGAGAAGAATTCGACGCAAAATTCAAGAAAATTCAATGACTGCTCGGAGAGAACTAGAGGAACAATTAAAAGCATCGATTATTATTGTTACGAAGCGAACAATGAAGCAATGAACTTCATAGAAGTCAACTATTATTGTAAAAACATAAAGATGCTCGGTTAAAATTGGTTCGTCAGCATGAGAATTAACCTGAATCATTTTGGGAAAGTATTTTATGGCCAGATGAAACAAAAATTGAATTATTTGGGCGTAATTCAAGGAATCCCGTTTGGAGAAAAGACGGCACAACCTTAGCATCGAAGAATACAATCTTCGGGGCACCAGGGAAAATAGCTCGCCAGAACAGTTACCAGGAAAATATTTGTAGAAAAGACAGAGGGAAGCCACATTACGCCTGGGTGGATAGTAACTAGAGTTGAGATGACAAGTCAGGATTGGCCACATTGCAGATCCGTCTTTAGGTTTTGTCGATAACAGGGGCACCAGACCATATATGCCAAAAACTATCAATGCTTGGACGAATAATATATATATATATATATATATATATATATATATATATATATAATGTTCACCTTATACAAGACTCGACAGCCACACAGGTAGAGGGTCAATGTGGAAAGGTGGCAAAAAGTGAACATTATGAGGATATGAAGTAAAGGTAACGATTGAGACTCGACTTGAAGAGTTTAAGGAAGATGCCTAAGTGAAACTTTGTTTCTGATATTTGAAGTAAGGAGGAACTAGGAAAGGAATAAATCGAATAATGGAAAATAGCATGTAAATGTCTTAATTGGTGGAAGACAATAATTTTGCTCATCGTGGTGAGTCCGAAAATGATCCTACAATTTTTAAAATCTCGAGAACCGGTTTCTCTACCCTTCATTCATTTGATAAACATGGGGAAGAGGACCTTACTGTGCGTTCGTGAACAATCTCTCTTTGCTAAGTAAATTTATTGCGTTCCGTATTGTTATTAGTTTTGCGTGCTTAGCTGGCTAAGAAACGCCGAAATTTGCTAAACACGCAATTCTAATAAGGCAGAATTTCTTGAACACGAATGTAATAATATTAGGAAGTACTCGGGTGGATACAACAAGGGAAATTGGGAAAGTTAATTCTGACATCAGGCAATTTCGAATAAGAAATAAGAATAAAATTAGATATAAGAAATAATATAGGATTAAAATTGATTAATTCGTTTTTAATTCGTTTATATATATATATATATATATATATATATATAACTTAGCCTACGCGTTTAGTTCTCTGTAGGTCTTTGTCGACGTATATGCCTTCATTAAGACCCACACAGGACGAAACACGCCAGCTAAATTTACATATTGTGTTTTTACACACATATATATGGTATTCCAACTGTAAAGAGCAGTTTGCTCTAAGACGATATTTAACCTATAACCGCTACTTTCTGTAATGGACTTCCATAAACACTAAAGTCTTAATCTCTTTAAGTCAAAGATCAGTCCTTATCTATCCTTCTTATTCTCGCCATCTTCCTCCCTACCAACTTTTTTCATTCGCAGCATACAGCTCATTAATCATAACTGTAACCTTCTACACTGAGTGGCTCTCGAGCCTTGCATTAAGTGAACTTTATTATTAAAAACGGTAGAGAGAAGCACGTGTCCTGTAATTGGGACTTTGTTTTTCTTCGTACGAAGGTTAGATTTTGATTGACCCATTTTCTATACATTTACTCTTGTTTACATTTCTCTAATACTGCACCAGTTGTCTGGTCTTTTTTTTTAATCTAGCCAACATGGTATCAAATGGTTTTATTCTCAAATACTATTTCTTTGTATCAATCCAGGATACTTAGATTATGACACGCGTATAATAAGTACATCAGAAGCTTTTTTTTTTTTTTTTCGTCATGTAGGTACAACATATATCTTCAATAACCTTTTAACATTTGATAACCAAAACGGCTGAAACAATCCGGGAAGGTAAATCTTTTAAGGTTTGATTATAGGTGCTGGACTTCTATTTGTAGATACATTAAACTATGTAATGGAAGAAAAAATTCAATGACTTACACCCTGTAGAAAGCCTAAGAGGCACTCGAGGTAGAGGGTCAGAGAGTAAGAGGCATAGTTTATGCAGATATGTAGGGAAGACAATGGCTAACCCTAGACTTGAGCAGTTTAAAATTGTAGTAATCGAGAAAATCCTGTTGGGTTCCACAAAGCAGCTGTTCGTGGGAAGAATCTGCTAGACTGGAACTTACATCTCACCAATGGAATACGAAGGGAATGAGGCTGGTTCGCTACAATGTACCTGTCCTGTTGGGTCTTAGCTGTGAATGTTAGAACTAGTGGAACAAAAAAAAATGACACATGGCACAGTGGATAAAGGCGTTGGTTAGATCCAGTGACAGGACCCAAAGAGTGTGAGTTCAATACCTGGTTAAGGCAGTGGAGAACTTTCAGAGGGAAATTAGCAGGAGATAACTGATAACTGACATCCATCGAACATGGCACGTGGAACTAGAACAGTCTACCCCAGTGAGCGAAATAAAGGGTTCAGTTCGAAATTCCAACCGCCTGAAGAAGCCCGGAGCGTACAACGACCGAAACGTTGTGATAAATATGACGACAAAGATGAGGAAAATAGTCCGAATAATGTACATAGTACCTCATCTCAGAAATATAGACAAACTCTGAAAAAAAATGTAGTTCGTCTGAAATAGCGATGGAGTAGCGAGAGGCGGTATTTAGTTTGTGGGGAAAGTGGTTGTAGAGTGGAAAATAATTAATACATTTTATGAAGAATCATGGATATGTTTGTCTTTTATATATATGTATACAATAATTATTTTGTCACGTTTTATTCTCTTTTTCTTTTATTATAATATTCCGGTCTTCCTGTGATTAAACTTTTCTTAACCGAAATAATCCAGTGGCAAGAGAGACCGAACAAACATAAGACTGTAGATGTGAAGGCTTATAGTGGCATTGAGCTTAGGGATTAAAATTAACAGTTTATTAACCCACACCAAGAAAATTTAAGGATAATGATATTGACGAGGAAACACTGTTAATTTTAACAAAACAAGATAAGGAATTTATTTACGAATGTACACGCTCGTATCACTGGCTCGTTTCAGGAAAATAACTCAACAAATTTTAAAGTGCATAGTTTTAACGAATTGTCATGAAGAGGTAATTTTCATTCATACAGAAGCTTAAATGATTTGACAAAAAATAATATTAAAACATTATTAAAACAAAGTTAAGGGAATTTGTTGCTCACTGAAGTGATAGATGGTTTGTATACATTCAAATGTATACGAAAAGAGATAATTTGAAATACTTAACTTTCTTTGATTGCTGATTGTAAATTCTTTGAAGTGATGCGTGCTTGGGTAAAAAGCCGATAATATTATTGGCGAATAATTTTACACGGGCTTCATCGCGGAGAACTGAAACGAAATCCTTCACATGACTTCACTCTTCGCTTATTAATTTAATTTTTCTCTTCATTTTATACTAAAAAAAAAATTTCGCATAGTCCCGCTAATTTCTTTTTCTTCCTGGCTCAACAGTTACTTTCGCGAATTTATTTCCGTCTTCTTCTCTGCTCGCCGGTCAATCTCTGGGAAGGCAAGGCTTTCATTGGTCCAAAGAAAATTTTCACATTGGCTTCCTTTCCTTTCCACTTTTTTTCCTCGGTCCTTCAAATTTGAAGGGAGTGGGTAAAGGGAGTTATTATTTCGCACTCACCACAGGTTCTTTTTTCCTGGTTTCAGTATTTGGTGGCGATTATATTTCCTGAAAATAATATTCGTCGAACGATTTTTATCTGCGTGAAACTGCTGTTTAATTTTTCAACTTTTATTCGAAGATGCGCTTCCTTTCGGAATTGAAGGCTATCATTGATGAAGACGAGCCCAATCCTTGCGTAGGATCTAAGCGTCGTCGAAACACCTCGGATTTTTGCATTAAGTTTCAACTGAAGAAATCAAGACTTATGTTCATATCATAATGAGAAAAGATTTCTTAATGTAGGATTTTTTTTTTTATTTTTTTTTGTTGTTTTTTCGTATATCTTCTATATTTCTTCTTTGTTTATAAAAAATGATCACAAACATTTTTGGTTACCTCATATAATAGATATGAAAGGATTTAACTGATAGACAGACGAGATTGTTTGATAGATAGGAAAGCATTGAAACAAACTGATAGATAGAAATATTTCAGGTGTTGCTTTCAAATCTTTAAAAAAATTGCTTCGCTTTTTTTTTTTTTTTTTTTTTTTTGTAGTTTTCACCACCTTTTTCTGTCCTTTCTTTTCAATCTACTTTTTTTTTTAATTACCTCGCACGCTAATCGTTCTGAATTTCCGTTGATTAATTTTCAAAAAAATTGACAATTATTACTGATTAGATTGCCCTCATTTCTTAAAAATCAATGAAGGAATCTAGAAAGACGCCCTCCAATCAAGGACTCTTGAGGCTAATCCTTACAAACATTCCTTTATCAGCAAACACACACACACGTACAGTTAAACAATTTTACAACCAGTTGCATACGAACAAAGAGAAAGAAGTTTACGCATGCGCAAACAAGCTGCGGAAACATCCTGCCGCCTCGTATTCTGAAACTTCCGGAGATTTAGTTTATGAGAAATTGGTTTCTTTCTCGTTTTACGTTTTAAAAACGAAACTCGCGTCTCAATCTGTATAGTTCTTTATTCCAATATCAACCTCTCGATTTCTCTTGCTTCTCATCTCTTTCTCATCTCGCTGCATGTAAAACTCTTCTCTCCCGCATTATTTTTTTCTCTTTCCCTTACTCTATCTTTAAGTCTAGCTTTGTTACCTTTTCTGGTTGATTCTCTGTCCACGGTTTGTTTGTTTTTTCTTTCTTTCTTTCTTTCTTTCTTTCATCTTCACAATATTCTTTCCCGTTTTCTTCTCTTTAAATTCTCGCACTATTTCTCCCCCCCCTCTCTCTCTCTCTCCCTCTCTGCGTTATAATGTTTGCTCACGGCTTTTTTATGTAAATCAATGAAATTCTTCTTCCGTCCTTTTTCCTCACCGTCTCTTTCATTTTCCCTACTATTATCTCTCGTTCTGTCTTTCTATCGATCTGCCACGAGATCTGAACATTTGCCATTTGCTGCTCTCTCATACTTCATTTTTGTGTGCATCTTCATCACTATCTTCATATCTTTTTTCTTTTCATTTTTGTTTTTCCTATGAATATGCTTCTCACATCTATCTATACTTTCTATCTCTCTCTCATATATATATATACTTTTACTCATTATGTAATTTCTTCAGTTCTTACTTCCTTTTTACAATTAATTCGTCTTAAAATACTGATACTATTATCACTAACAATCTCATTTTAGTAGATATTATAGAGTCTAGAATGGCAGAAGCAACAGTCTAGGCTAAAATATTAGTTTACAATAGTGAATGTTAGAGTTTAAATTATCCAACGTTGGAGTTTAATTTCACTTTTAAGATGCAGGGCAAATTTTATGATTCTTTTGTTTTATTTTTAAAAATAAAATATCGAGTTTTATATTCGATTAAATATGACAACCTGTCATATGTCCAATTTATTTTTGAGCACCTAGTTACGATAGATATGACCACATATAAATAAAGGTTTCGCTAGACTCGCTCGCTTACGAATAATAGTGAAATATTCCTTCAGTTACATCTTTATCAATGATCTTCTTGCAGATGGTAGCATCAAAGAAGGACCAAAAATTATTATTAGTATTATTATTAATGGGAGTTAATGCGCCTTCGTTTCAACTGGAGCGATTCCTTCTTTTTTGGGTCGCACTGACATTAAAGCAACTATTCTTTCCTCGTTTGTAATTAACAAATCGGTCCCTCGTCACATCCGCTTTCTCAGTTATTCAAGAATTAATGATTTTTCGGGTTTCAGGTCTTCATACGCTAAGATATAAAGGAAGTAGCAAGATTTAAATACAAAACATTGTGAACATAAATCAAATTAATTGTAAATTCAACTTATTTCTTTATTTGTTAAGATAAATTACACGCTATCAATTTTTCCTACAGATTTTCTCTTATCTTCTAATATGACAGAACTTATGGCGCTGAGGTTACAAGTGGATGTTTGAAAATGACGTAATTGGGTTTTTTTTTTTTTTTTTTTCGTTGTTTTATTTTTTTAAATCATTTCACCCCAAGCTAGGCAATCAAGCTACTAAGGTGCAACGGGTTACTAAGTGTTAGAAAATATGATAAAATAGTATTAAGGAGAGAGAACAAGAATTGAGACGACAAAAGATAACGACTGACATTGCATTTGAATTTTTGAAAATCAAAATTGAAGAAAGTTTCACAAGCGAAAAATCTGAGATATGAAATTATTAACATAGAAATGACGGTTACATCTAGCCATTTCAACTTTAAAATGATTAGACATTCCCGCCAATCTAGTATCTTGCTTAAATTCATAAAGTCAAGGTCCCATAGAGGATCGTTCATCAGAAGAATTGCCATGAAAATATTTATAGAAAAGGCACAGGGAAGCTACATTACGGTGGTGGGAATATGGCTGAAAGCGATACGACAGGTCACGACCAATAAAAGTGCTGATTCTTCTTTGGATTTAATCCTTCTTTTTCGGTCGCACAGACATTAAAGCAACTATTCTTTCCCTTTTTGTAATTACCAAATCAGTCCCTCGTCACATCCGAATCACTAAATATATATCAGGTGTGCGAGAACATATGTGGAAGCAATATTCAAAACATGGACGAATGGTAGAATTAAAGATGTGTAAGATAGATTCTAGAGAGAGAAAATGTCCAACACGACTCCGTGAACCAATAATCCTAGCAAAATACCTAGCAATGAATTCAATATTTCGGCTTAGAAGTAAGAAAATCCAGTTATAGTTCTTTTGGGATTGAATGACAAACAGCGTCCAAGTGCAATCGTTTTAGAATATAATCGCAAGATATGGACGCTTATATTAATGCTGAGAGGTTATTCTAATTTATCATGGCTACGGTTTAGGGAGTTCGATACTCATTCGGTTCTTCTTAAATTATAGCTTTATATGTCCAACTAAAGCTTTATTTCGTAGGCAATTATTTCGGCTAACATTTTGAATAATTTGCATAGCGCAACGTGCATTGTTTTATTTTGCTTAGGGTTTCCTTTATTTGTGGTAATTATGCATGTATAACCGACACCATTAATCGGGTTTGGGGCCCTTACTTAAGCTATGAATTCGAAGACAGATTTTAAAGTAGGTAAGCCTTTGCTGGAGGGAAATTTAAGGGACATGATTTTTATATCCACCTCTTCTTTTTTTTTTTTTTCTCGTGCCAAAATCAGTTGAGCTCAATAAAAAAGTCACCTATTGTAGTGTTGTGTCGGAAACCTACCACCCCTCTTGAAGATGAACTTGTCTGCGGCTGTGAACAAAGACTTTAAATAGTGGCATGTCAGTTGACATGGGGAAGATAGATAGACCGAGAAGTTCTTAGCTGAGCTAGTTATTGACTACTCAGGCGATTTCTGTACCTTTTTACCAACCTATTAAAACCCTTTTTATTGTTACGTGTTATTTGGCGTTTGTCTCTACTAACCCCAAATCAACATCATAACATGTAGAATACTGGTTTCGTTAATGTCATTATTCACATGTTGAAATGATTTATTTTGAAAGACAGTAAATTTCCCTGTTAGAAAGTCGTAACGAAGCCCTCTAAACTAATAGCAATTGTAGATGTTTGAAACCAGGACAAAAAAAAAACATATTTATCGAGATTGCTTTTCAAGACATGTATGGCTTCTCTTCTAAGGTAACTGCCAAACATGCTATCGCGTGTTACCGGTTGTTAAGCATTAAACTTGATAAATATGTACATTTACTTAGTTCGATAGTTAAATTTTGATTTATTTAGTTTATCGATTTTACGCCTCATGAATACTTATTAAGTTAATGCCGATTTTTTTAATGTGGCACTCAGTGAAAATCGAACTCACTATCCAGTAGTAATGGTCAACCAGACTAATCTTTACTTCCTGCCAAGGCGCCTAGATTTTGATGAAGATAAGGTGACTGCCAAAGGTTAATTACGAAATCCGACTTTAAACGTGAGCTTTCTAAGTTTATTTGCGTGTTAGCATCTGTAACTGCCCCGACTAGAATTCGAACTCCGATTCCATGTTCTGAGCCGCTATCAATTACACTAGCCGCACATTCTGGAAGTCTTTTGGAACGTACCATTATAGACTTAGGTGACACAGTATTGGCCCGAATGAAAGCAGACAGAGCCATTGAATTGGCTAGCAGACAAAATCCATTATCTTCAACGGATGAACTCTGCCACACTTTTTGTGATTGTATCAAAAATCAATGTTCCTCCCCCAAGCAAAAAACGATTCATATTGAGTATGATAATATCACCGCCTCGGGCTACAATTACGATAAGAAACCAATGAAATAGTTTTATTTCTTCAGATTTCGAATGGATTTTTAAAGTTTGTGCTTACATTTTTATTAATTTCTTTTTTATTTAGTCATTCGGAATAAAATTATAAAAAGTAAGTATGATTACAACACCATTTTATAGCGAGTATTTTTTAGACAAAGAAAAAAATTATTTATCTGCTATGGTATTCACTATGAAATATTGGCTTGTTTTCCCTGGTTTATCTTATTTTAGCGCGGCTGATACATTCGGAAACTTTTGCTAAAGAGACAAACATGCAACCTTATTTACGTATATAAATCTATTAATACCCGCCGTAAAATATGGGCTTAATTATAAAACTTGAAAATATAAATCCTGTATTAATTATAGATTTATAACAATGAGACGGGTGAATTAGTTGATTAAAATATTTCCTTTCACTTAATGAAAAGATTTCCTCTCATATGTATAATATATATGTACGCACTTATGACTGTATTGTCTTACGAGTGTTCTCAGACAATCTTTCACTTGGATTAAACATTTAACACGGGGTTTCCCAAACTGTGCCATATTGCCCACCGGTGGGCAATGAGCAACTGAACGGAAAATGGTAGGCGTTTGGAAATTTTGTTGAGCGATATAGGATTTTAAGTATTAAAACGTATTTCAACATATGTTACACGAAAAAAATATTCAAAGATATATGCGAAGAACCTGTATAAAGAACAAACAAAAAATAACAGGAGGCCGAATAGGAATAACTGGATAACATTCCTAGATTAGGCTATACCTAAATATCCCCGCAAACAAGGAATATTCAACGAGCTACACATAATCCCGTCATCGGTATTGGGCATTATCTCTAATTTAAACCCCCACAAGGCTAGTGGTGGAAACAGGATACCAGCCATTGTCTTGAAGAAATGTGCGCCTGAACTGACCCCTGCCCTCTACAAATTATATAACTACTGCCTCAATGAATCTTGTTTTTCAGCCTGTTAGAAGTCCTCATCCATTGTTCCTGTCTATAAGAATTCTGGTGACACTTTTGACCCTTTTAATTACCGTACTGTCAGTCTCCTACCCCCTCTTTGGCAAAGTCTTCGAACGCCGAAGTGGTTAAGAACCTTAGATCCCATGGTCTGCTCACCGGCAAGCAATATGGTTTCCGCTTTGCCCGTTTTACAGCTGATGTGCTTACGGCCATCTCTGAAATTGTTTAACAAGCCCTTCATAATAACGGAGAAGCTCGTTATGTGGCTCTAGATATCTACAAAGCGTTTGATAGGGTTTGGCATGCCGGCCTTCTTTGTAAGCGTCAGGGTTATGTAATTTCAGGTCGATTGTTTGACTAAATACAAGCATTCCTATCAAACCGTGTATTGAAGGTCGTTCTCAATGGATTCTCCTCCAGCTCCTATCCCACGAACGCAGGTGTTCCTCAAGGCTCCATCCAGGACCTTCTCTGTTCCTTATCTTCATCAACGACCTTCCTGACGTCCTAGATCCCCAAGTAGGCATCTACGCGTGTCTCAAAAACAAATCTAGTGTTGTTGA